GGACCCCAAAATTGGGGGGTCCCTGGGGGGATCTTGGGGCTCCTGAGGGGAATTTGGGGTCCCTGGGGGGAATTTGGGGTTTCTGAGGGGAATTTGGGGTTCCTGAGGAGAATTTGGGGTTCTTGAGGGGAATTTTGGGGTTCCTGAGGGGAATTTGGGGTCCCTGAAGGGAATTTGGGGTTCCTGAGGGGAATTTTGGGGTCCCTGAGGGGAATTTGGGGTCCCTGAGGGGAATTTGGGGTTCCTGAGGGGAATTTTGGGGTCCCTGAGGGGAATTTGGGGTCCCTGAAGGGAATTTGGGGTTCTTGAGGGGAATTTTGGGGTCCCTGAGGGGAATTTTGGGGTCTCTGAGGAGAATTTTGGGGTCTCTGAGGAGAATTTTGGGGTCCCTGAGGGGAATTTGGGTTCCTGAGGGGAATTTTGGGGTCCCTGAGGGGAATTTGGGGTCCCTGAAGGGAATTTGGGGTTCTTGAGGGGAATTTTGGGGTCCCTGAGGGGAATTTTGGGGTCTCTGAGGAGAATTTTGGGGTCTCTGAGGAGAATTTTGGGGTCCCTGAGGGGAATTTGGGTTCCTGAGGGGAATTTTGGGGTCCCTGAGGGGAATTTGGGGTCCCTGAAGGGAATTTTGGGGTCCCTGAAGGGAATTTGGGGTTCCTGAGGGGAATTTGGGGTTCCTGAGGGGAATTTGGGGTTCCTGAGGGGAATTTGGGGCCCCTGAAGGGAATTTTGGGTTCCTGAGGGGAATTTTGGGGGTCCCAAACCCCTCGTGACCCCCCCAAACCCCCCCAGGAGGCCCTGGAGAAGTTCTGTGACTCCCTGGAGCAGATGATGGACAGCCACGAGGTCGGCAGGCCACGCCCCCTTCCCCAGGCCACGCCCCCTTCCCGAGGCCACGCCCCCACCCCTTTACATTCAAACCACACCCATTCCCTTCTGACCACGCCCCCTTGTCTTGGCCACGCCCATCCCACTCCCTCATTTGCATAATTGCGCTCCTTTCTATGCCACGCCCCTTTATTTGGCCACGCCCACCTGCGAGGCCACGCCCCCTTTGCCGCACTTGTTTCCCATGAGGCCACGCCCCTTTCCAGAGCCCCACCCCCTTTCAGACCACGCCCCCTCAGGCACGACCACACCCTTTGAATGGCCACGCCCATTTCCTGTTTGACCACGCCCTTTCCCACCTGACCACGCCCCTTTCTAACCTGGCCACGCCCCTTTTCCTTTGCTTGTGATTTGTTTACCAGACCCGTTCATGCAAATTTCCCGCCTGAGCACGCCCCCTTTTCCCCTGGCCACGCCCCCTTTTCTCTGCCTGTCCATGCAAATTTCCCGCCCGACCACGCCCCTTTCCCCTGGCCACGCCCCCAACTCTTTGGCCCCGCCCCCAGGAGCTGCGGAGCTGCACCCAGAGCGCCCTGAGGAGGCACCTGCAGCCCCTGCGCGAGTGAGGGGGGATCAGGGGGTCCTGGGGGGGATTTGGGGGGTCCTGGGGGGGTTTGGGGGGTCCTGGAGGGGTTTGGGGGGTCCTGGAGGGGTTTGGGGGG